GAGAGAAGTTCAGCAATCATTTGGTGTCTGTGGTGGGTTTGGCAATGGAAGAGTTTTCCAAGCCCTCGTGGTGAGCCTGTTTTCCCTGCTAGAGTGTGGAGTTCCAGTCCTGCATGGACTGTACAAGAGCTCCTTCAAACCACATAAAAATGAGTTTTTACATCAAGTGCAGCTTCGTGGGCCAACTGTTGACTCTTTATTTCCTCCAGTGACTCACTGCCAAAACTTGGGAAGCACAAGTGAATGGGAAGTGCATGAGGAGAAAACTTCTCTATCTCCCCATTCCCAGTCCTTTGATCTCTCCACATTTTTGTGTGTTGGCCAGTTGCATTCCCTACTCAAAGGCATCGTGGAAAACCACTTGATCCCATGAAATATGTGACAGTTTTCCCCATTTTTAAAGGCTTATTATGATCCCTGTGTTTGAGGTCTGGGAGGAATTACCCGGAGCCGTCCCAGTGAGTTGGGAATTGCACATCGGGGGATTTTTTTTAAAATAGAAAAGGAAGTTAAGGCTGTGTAAATAAAGTGAGACGTTTGTGGTGCTGCTCATCTTTTGTGTCTCCCAGGTTTAGAAAGGAGTGTCTGTGCAGAGCTGTGGAAGTGCAGCCAGAGGAGGTTTGGGAGCCAGGTGGCTCCGTGGGTGTTTGTGAGATCCAAATGTGGCACCTCCAGCAGAACTTTGCTGCCTTAAAAGACCAGAAAAGACTGTCTGAAATGGCATGTGTGCAGTAAAGCTTATCTGTTGCTAAAGGAGGAGCTCTTAGACTAATTGGTTATTTAATTAATATTTTTTAGCAGCCTGGATTCTTTATTCCCACCCATCCTCCCTTTTCCCTGTGTTTAATTGAAAAAGAAAAACAATTCCAAGGCAGGAGGATCCCCTTGCAGGGGCTCAGCACCCTTTGCTTTCAGTGTGGCATTTTATTTTTTGGGTAACAACTTTCTGTAAGGACATTTTGCTTTGTCTCAGGGTTGTTAATGAAGTATGTCTGAATGCATCTTCCAAGGAGAACTGTGCAGTGTTGTGGACATGCTTGAAAAGTGCAGGAAAATAATTGGTGTGGGAAATGCTGGAGCTGGGGGCCTGAGCTGCAGAACAGTTGCTTTTATGAAATTGGGAGCTGCAGAGTACAATTAGCTGTCATTAATTTTGTTGAATAGAAATATGTTCCATTTATTGTACAATCAGGAGCCAGGCTTGAATGAGTTTAAATAGATGAAATCTAAATTATACTGACAGTCCATTAAACAGCAGCAAAACCCCTTAAAGAAAATGGATTCACTATGATACCAGTTTATAATAAAATCATTTGCCAAATAAGAACTATAGCCCAGGCACTGGGAATACTCCTGTGAGCTTCAAATGAACACAGTAAATTGGTTGAACCATTTATTGCAGAGCAGGGCTGGGGCTCGGCGTTCCCTGACAAGGAGCCAGCAGAGCTGCTGGAAATCTGCTCGGCAGGAGGTGACACTGAAAGATCAGGCTGGCAATTTGTTTGTTGTCAGCCATATGGGGGAGGAGAGAGGAGGCTGCACAGCTCCCTACCTGGCAGTGGGAATGTTGGCCTGGCTCACACCAGGTGCTGGGCCTTCCCAGTGCCCTCCTCCCCACGTTCCTCTCTGGCACTGAACCATCTTACCATTTTTTTCCAATTTTTTTCCAATTTTTTTCCAATTTTTTTCCAATTTTTTTCCAATTTTTTTCCAATTTTTTTCCAATTTTTTTCCAATTTTTTCCCAATTTTTTCCCAATTTTTTCCCAATTTTTTCCCAATTTTTTCCCAATTTTTTCCCAATTTTTTCCCAATTTTTTCCCAATTTTTTTCCATTTTTTTTCCAATTTTTTCCCAATTTTTCCCAATTTTTCCCAATTTTCCCCAATTTCCCCAATTTTTTCCAATTTTTTTTCCATTTTTTTTCCTGATTTTTCCAATGTTTTTTCCAATGTTTTTTCCAATGTTTTTTCCAATGTTTTTTCCAATGTTTTTTCCAATGTTTTTTCCAATGTTTTTTCCAATGTTTTTTCCAATGTTTTTTCCTATTTTTTTCCTATTTTTTTCCTATTTTTTTCCTATTTTTTCCATTTTTCCCCATTTTCCTCCATTTTTCCCCATTTTTTTCTTTTTTTTATTTTTTCCCCTTTTTAAAATTTTTTTCCATTTTTCATTTTTTTCCATTTTACCCATTTTTTTCCATTTTTCCCTTTTTAAAGTTTTTTCCATTTTTTCCTTTTTTTCTTTTTTCCTTTTTTCCCATTTTTTCCATTTTTTCCATTTTTTCTTTTTTTTTCCATTTTTTCCCCATTTTTCCCATTTCCCCCCCACAACACTTCAACTACTCAGAAAATGGAGGTGGTTGGGTTTGGTTTTCTTTTTCCCCCCCAAAAAGATCTTTACGTCCACGTATCGAAGCTCTAATTTTAAAAGCAGCTTTTAGTGTGGGAATATTAATGTAACCCTTCAGAACTAGGGCACATCTGGTGAATATCACGAGCCCAAAGGCATAATGACTCTGTGCCATGTGGCAGGGAAACGCTCCATCTCCAGTGGGACGTTTTACACGGAATGGGAAAGGCAGCAAATGCACTCCCGGCTGGAGACAGGCAGTGAACCCAAGAGCTGTGCAGGGAACTTGGTTCTTTACTCTGTTTTGCCATTGGAGTGGCAAAGGTTATGGAAAAGCCCTTTTATTTTTATTTTTTGTCGATTATTTTTCTTTTCTTTGCCGGTTTGTTCAGCAGGGAGCTCTGTGGTTTGCTCTGCATGTCTTGGATGTGCCTCTGAACATCAAGTTTTTAGGGTCTCATGTCAGGTTTCAAGGTCTAACCTGTGGCTGCTGCCAGTTAACATTTTCCTCAACCTGTACTTGAAAATGAGATTATTCAGCCCTGCGTGTTCCCCACATTTTGAGTACAAACCTCAGGTGTTTGGAGTTGTCCAAGGTGGCCCTGGGATGAGATCTCACTGTGTGGATTTGTAGCACACACATTTCCCATGGGGTTACTTGCTCTCACCTCCTGGTGAACACAGGATGATGTGAGGACAACCATCCTCCAGCAGAATAAATCAAATTATACTTGGCTGAAGTTGTCAGGGGGGGGACAAAAAAAAGGGTGAGACACCCCATTGCAGCATGCTGAGGGTGAGGATGGGGCTGGGGTGCAGTTTTCAGTGGCATAAATCTTATTGCATTATAAAAATGCTGTCCTTGGGTCCACTTGGAAGCTGGTTGGGTTTCTGGTAAAGGGCAGGAATTGCTCTTTATGGCGAGTTTTGGGTGGTTGATGTGAACCCATCCATCAGTGTTCTCCTTTTTTGGGGGGGCATTTTTCATTCAGGACGTTGCTTTGCACCTGGATAAACTTGTTTCCTTCTCAGTGTGGCCTCTGTTGCTTCAGAGATGTCTGAAGTGGGTGTCAGCCAGCAGTGCCTCCCTTAAATGCAGTACAGAGAGAGGCAACTCCTTTGCTTTATGCACAGGAGATGCCACATTCCCTTATTTTTTGGTGCTGTTTTGTTCAGCTGTTTGTTCTGCCTGCTGTGTGATAATGCTCTGGAGATGAGGCTTGTAAAACTGAGATATTAAGGTGGGGGGAAAAGGAAAAAGAAAATAAAAATCTTGGAAGTTGTGGTGTTTTCTGTATCTGTGATCTCATGGCTTTTCCTGCACGTTCCCCAATGAACCCTGAAAAAACTTCCAGCACGTGAGAGGAGGTGGGACATGATGGAAATAAATAGATGGTTCATCTGGGCTGCTGAGCAGTTGGTTGGAGTGAGTGGAGGTTTGTCCAAATGGAATGATTAGCCAGGGAAGTCTGGGATGACACACGGGTGCTTTGATGTGCTTAAATTGCCACAGTTCCCAGATAAGCTGGATTGAATCAAACTGCATCCAAACTGCATCCATGTGTGTTATAAAACTCTGAGATTTTGGAGTTTTTCTGTAGAAATATAAAAAAAAAAATCATGGAAACCCATTCATAGGATAATGGTGGGTTTTGTATCTTCTGTGGTTTGAATATAATTTATTTAAATGTGTATAAAAAGGGACACAGTGACTGTCCCTAGAGATTTGTTTGGCTTAAACTCTGAGCCTTGGAGTTTTTCTGTAGAAATGTAAAAAAAAAATTCATGGAAAGCCATTCATAGGATAATGGTGTTTTCTGTACCTTCTGTGGTTTGAATATCATTTATTTCTATGTCTATAAAAAGGCACACAATGACTGTCCTTAGGTACTTGTTTGGCTTTGGGAGCAGCATCTTTGTTGTTTAGCAGGCTTTGTGTGAGTTTTCTGATTTCTAAGGTCATTATCATTAATCAGGCACTTGGTTCCCATCCCTGCAGTAATTCTATTCCAAAGGCACTGCTTTTGTTGTAGCTATTGCCAAGCCTGTTTTTAATACAACAGCCCTTATGTTACAGCAACCTCGGAGGGTCCAGTTGTCAAAAGCAAACAAAAATAATTACTGTGTCTCTGTCATGTCAAATGTAACTGGAGAAAGCCCAGGCCTTCCCTGAGGTAAATCTAATTTACTTGGCTGTGTTTCATCTGGGATTGGTTGCCTTGGTTTTCTTCACAATTAGAAGAGAAAATATGTTAGTGCTGGGTTTTTAATGGCAAACTGACCACACCAGATCTGATTAGTTCCCTCTCTTATTTTGATCTGGTTCATAGGCTGTGACCTGGTCGTTGTTATTAACTCAATCCAGAGTGGGCTTTCAATGACTTTCTTTTTGGTTTGTTTTTTTTTTTTTTCCCAGTAAAATGTCTATTCAAATCAAAGTTAATTTTTATGCAGTTAATTCCCTTATTTATCATCATAAATAGTTTCTATTCTTAGACCGCGCTCGGCATAAATTACACGTTAATGCAAATGAAATGGTGATTCTTTCAAAAAGCTTAGGCTGTGTTTCAGTTTTATCCTGTTTTTGTGTTCTTTCTTGGAGGTACAGAAGTTAATTCCCGTTATTTTTAAACTCTTGTCTCTTTAAAGATTGCGTTTACATCGAGAGCCGCCGGCCCAACACCCCCTATTTCATCTGCAGCATTCAAGACTTCAAACTGGTAAGGAAACATTTTCACATCTCCTTTTTCCCCTGCCCTGCTCACCAGTGAGGTGCTGATATTTCTTAGCCTGTGTCTCTTCCTGCAGCTCCTCCTGAGTAAATCTTTCCCTTCTGGAACAGGAGCTGTTCTGCTCTTAGGACAGTGACCTGCCTTTGCTTTAGGCTCAGTTTAACTGTGCAGCTCAAACTCTGCTCTGTGCCAGTTTTAGCTTAGCAGAAATATTAACTCAGTTTAACTGTGCAGCTCAAACTCTGCTCTGTGCCAGTTTTAGCTTAGCAGAAATATTAACTCTGAGCTGAGTGTTCTGGAGAAACTGTGGCTCAGTAAGTTAAATTTTTTTCCTGGGAAGTTAAGTTTGGCTGTGCCTCTTTCCTCTGGCTTCCTGTAGCTGAGCTGTGAGACTGGGAATTCTTCATCTCAGCTGCTCCTGGACTCACTGGGAGACCAGACCCAGTGACCAGTTCGATTGGGAAAAAATACAAAATAACATCCAAGAACACTTTAGCACTTTATTCTTTAAACCTGCAAAGTCAAGGACCTGCATGAGAACAGATCAGAGTTGTGGTTTGCCCCTTTGTGTCTGAATTTGCACATTTAAAAGGTTCAGTGTGTTCCTTTTCACCTGCTGGAGCTGCACAGAAAAGCACCCAGTGCAGGGCAGGAGCTGCTGCTTGGTCACAGCCCAGGGCTGGGGTTGGACTTGGCAGAGCTTTGCAAGCAGGATCTTTGAAAAGGGAACTGTTCCTGCTCCTCCTTGTGCTGCTTGTTGGGGCTTTATTCAAGTTCTGAATAAATAATAAACTGTCCTTCTTACCAGTGCATTGTCTGCAGACACAGATCACCCAGGATCTGCTGCTCTGAGCTGTATCTTCCTTTCTTCCAAGCTTTTCCAAGTTTATTCTGTGAGACCACAGTGAAGGAGAACTTTGCTCAGTGGTGATGTCCGTGGCAGTGGTTTGGTTTGTTCTCTCTTCCCTCCCCCTTTATTTCTGGATTTGTTGGATTTGTTGGATTCTGGAGCTGTTGGATTTGTAGTTCTCAGGTTCTGCCAGTGGGAGAACTTGTCCCACTCCTGCACATCAGATGCTTTAGTGTCTCCCTGGAATTCCAGGGGGAGAGTTGCCATTCTGGGCAATGAGTTCCTGCTGAGTTGCATTAATTGTTCAGGGTATTAACAACAAAAGCTGAAGCTTCTCTTGTCAGCACTGGGCTTGTCCCACAAGTTGAAGCTGTTTGCAGAACTGTGGGAAGTGCAGTGCACTGTGTTGCAGTACCTTTACATTTTTGTGGAGTGGTTTCAACTTGACGTGAGGTTTGCTGGCAGTTTTGAATATTTGACATGGAAATAGTGTCCCTGTTTTATATTTATTTTTGCTTGCTCAGAGTTCTTTAATTTCTCTGTTAGATTTTTTTTTCTCCTCTTACTGCCATAATGCATAAAAATGACAAAACCAAAAAACTCTTGATGCTGATAAAAGCAGCAAAAAATGAATCTCCAGTGTGTGTGTGTGACCCTTGATTTTACTGTTGGGGGAAAAGGAAAGATGTACAGTGCAAAGGACACTTGATTTCTCTTCCAGTGTGAGATACCAACAGGAAAACAGTCTTGTTTTGCCTTCAGCTAAATATGTCAAGTGAAGCAGAGAAGTTAAAGTCAACAGCTTTGAAATGTCGCCTGCTAATTAAATACATTATTGTGCTGGTTGTCAGAAAATGAAAGTTTTTGGCTGAGTGTTTGAGCTTGAGCCTGTGCTTCCTGTGGTTCTGGGTGCTGTTCAGGTGCACCAGTTGAGGGTGATGTTTTAGAACCAAAAGATGTAAAAAATTTAAAAATAAAAAGAACAGTCAGTGAAAAATGGCACAGCCTGATGCACTTGTGTGCTGTCCTGCAGGGTAAAAGGTCCTGAGGATGATTTTGGGGATGAGACTGGAGTACCATTCAGCTCCATTCTTGAAGTACACTGAGGTTTAACTTGCTTTTCACAGGAGTATCTTAAATAATAATAATTAGATGTGATTTTATTCCAGAACTAAAAACTGGTTCTGCGAAGTTTTTTGGTGTCTTCCAGCTGAGTGTTCCAGAGTCCTCATAGCCTGGTGCAGTCACACAGCTCCAGAAGCAGATGGTGCAAACAATTGCAGAGCAGTTGTGTTTCAGTGTTTCAACCCTGTGCCTTGGAGAAAGCAGGAACTGTTCTTCTCTGCCTGCTCTTGGCAGTTGCAGCAGTTCTGGCAGGTGCAGTGGTGTCTTTGGATGCATTAGTTTATCCCTCTGTCACGAGTTTCTCTTGACATTAAGATGAATCAGTTCTATTAAAAATGATATTAGAGGAGTAGCTCTTTGCCTTTCCTGGAGAACAATTCCACTTCACCAACGGCCCTAAAATCCTCGTGAGGAAACTTCACTGACTCCTAATCTCTCTTTAAACTGTCTCTCTTGCCATCCTGTGTTCTGCCTGTGTTGCAGAGCTTGGCTTTTCCCCCTGAGTTGTATTAATTATTGTTTTAGGACAGGTATTAGTTGTTGGTTTAGGACAGGTATTGTTGGTTTAGGACAGGTATTGTTGGTTTAGGACAGGTATTGTTGGTTTAGGACAGGTATTGTTGGTTTAGGACAGGGCAGCAGGAGCAGCAGATGTGGTTCCTGAGCACTGAGAGCAGCTGAAGGAGCACAACCAGCTTTCTGGGTCTGTCTCTTTGGGTCCAAAAAACAATTGATGCTTTCAGGTTGGCTGTGTGAGAAGCTGTGAAATTATCTGATCAATCCACCTGAACTGTGTTGGGAGCTGTCCTGGATAACATTCACCTCCTCTGTCTGTACTGTTCCTGTGGTCCCACATTCCTTCAGGCTTTCAGGGATTCATGGAAGTGGAGTTGAGGAAAACCTGATTGCTGTGTTGTGTCTTAGGGAAGCTGTCAGCACAAAGGGCACTTGAACTGTCAAGTCCTTTCTGCTCTGCTGTTGCTTCAGAACTTCCATAACTGAGCTTTCTCTGCAGGGTTAACAACAGCTCCAAAATCACCTCCAAGGACGTGTTGGGAGTCTCAGGTGTTTTCTGGGAACACCAGCAGTGAGAGAACTGTTCTGCCCTGGGAATTAGGAAAAACCTCTTGGAAAAAGCACAGTTTTCCCAGCTGAGGGAGCCTCCCAGAACTCTGCTGTCCTGGGGGCAGTGACCTGGTTGGGTGACCCATTGGTGTGGAAGGGAAACAGCAGGAACTGGTGGGAAAGAACTGAAAGAAGGTCGTGGAGAGTGATTCCTGTGAATCCTGTCTTGCTGAGACAAGGATCATTTTTTTCCCAGCTGCCTCCAGAGACAGGTTGCTTAAATAAAAACGACACAGCACTAGAGCAGGCACCAAAGGAAAAAGGATGAGTGGGGCTTGGAGTGAACATCAGTTTTCTTGGCACTGGAGGGTTGTGCTGTCCTGCCCTGGGCAGGGTGGGGTTGCTGCACCTCTGTGTTTCTTCTCACTGGAGAAAAAGGGGATGCTCTGCTGTCCAGGCTGGATCACTGGGGGTCCCTGTTCTTCTCCAGAGCCTCAGGTGTTCCCTCAGGGGAAGGGATGTGTCAAAGGTGTAAAAATACAGAATAATAGTTCAGTAGCTCTCATGCTGTTGTGAGCTGTGATGGTTTATGCAGAACTCTGATAAGTGTGTTCTTGGGAAATCCTCTGGTTTATTTTTGCCCTCAAATACTGAAATGTTTGTGAATGTTGACCCTTGGAAGCAGAACTTCTTTTTCTTCCCCTTATGGAAAACGTTGGGGTGGCAGGTCACGTGAAAAGGTGTAATGTGCCATAAATGCCTTTTCTTTGTTTGCTTCACTTCCCAGTTTTTGAATTATTGATACATTTTAAAAGTGAAATTGCCATGACCTGTCAGAAGAGTATGAGATGGTTGTCTGTATGTAAAAAAAAAACCCAACAACCAGGAAGTTCCTAGATTATTCCTTCCCTGCTGATTGGGGTTTGTGCTGTCTGTGTCCCAGAACATTTTATTAATCTCTCTTTAGTGCTAATTCATTTTCTCTGGATTAATACTATCCTCTTTCAGGATTCAAGGCCAGATTATTCTTAAGGACTTTGATTAGGAACAAACTGTGGTGAAGCAATGTTTAAATCTGTGCTGGCTTTATTGCCTTCCACGTTTTTGTTGGTTCTCAGTTCCTTCTCTCATTGCTGGCACTCAATATTTGCTCTGTGTTGTAGGATGTGCTCTCCCTCCTCCCTGGGGCAGCTGAAGGGGTGGTTGGGTTCAGGTGTAAATCTGGATTATGCAAGGTCATGAGTAGCTTTAGAGCAACTTTTCTACCCTTGTTTTTCCCTCAGGAAGCACTTCTTTCCCTAATTTCAGCCTGTGTTATCAGGTTTACAATGTCAGTCACTTTAAAAATATTGTTTTCAAAAACAAGAAACAGTAAAATATAACTGGAAAGTTGGAACATGTGGATAAAGGCTGGAAGAGGGCACAGCAATGTGCCTTTAATACTTCCTTGACATTGCTGAGCAAATGTAAGAATGAGGAAAATGGTGTTCCATGGAGGAGCAGAGCTGGGATCATTAACATGTGGTTCAGGGTTTGCTTACTGTGGAGTTTTCTGTTCCAGAACAATCTCCCAGCGTCGGGATTTAAATTACACGGGCGAGTCAATAAAATGAAAGCAGTTAATGCTTCGCTGCATTAAAAAAACATCACTTTCTCTGATTGTTGGTTGGGTTGTTTTTTTTTCTGTGAGAAAATGTTCAGCTTGTTTACATCAGGAGTTGTCTCCTGGCTGTCAATCTGCTGCTTTTCCCCTTCCTTCTTCAATAAAACCAGTGCATTTTTAACAATGCAGTTGTTCCCACCTGTCAGAAATGCAAATTTTCCTAGTCACCAGGAAGTTAGGGAAGCATACTTTTTTGTTCGTTGTCATTTGGCACGAGTCAAAACATCTTAAAAAAAAAATAAATAAAAAATCTCCAGGCTTCCTGAAGTATTCCTTAAATACTCT